CCCCCCACCATCTCAAGGTCTGGATCCGGCACTGCCCTCCTAAGAAAAATCCTGGATCCGCCCCTGTAGTCACACAGAACGTATCTTTAGTGTTGACTAATAAACAGGTTTTGATCGAATTTTCTATTTTCTCTCATGCGACTCCGGAGATTCGTCTTCTATCCTTGAAGGGATATCCACCTAAATAGCAGGATGATCGCTGCAAAAATATTGACTGCATTAAAAAGAAATTTCGCCAATAAAGACTAAAAAACAAAAACAAACAAACAAAACCAAAACAAAGGTGTGGAGGTACAACTCGGCCATATACCTTAATTTTTCGTCCTTGTCAATTCCCCTTATCTCATAAGTTCTATCAGGTGTAATGATGTTAAAGCAGGAATTCTCTTCATTTTGTTCCGAATGTGGCAGATCGGTAACTTCAGTGATCATGCGAACATCTATGGATCTACAAACGTAAAAATACATTAGTCCATCTGATGTGGCGAATTTAACATTTAATGTTACGTCAACTCTGATTTGTCAGTAAAAGAGTATTTCATGACTGTACTGTTATGTTTGTGAACAAAATCCACGCGATCTAATCTGGCAAGAGGTATTCTCTATTGTTATTATTAATTTTTTTGTGCGTAGAATCTGGCCTATCTGCGCTGCAAGGAATCATCTAAAGTTAGTCGCGAAAAACTTGCTCCGTCAATTAACATAATACACCTTGCAACGTCTATCTTACACAGTGCGACCTTTTAGCCTCAGGATCAGGCACTCGTTTAGTTATATCAGGGAATTGAGAGGAGCTCTTATGCACTTCTCTCCAACTAACGGACTGGACGGCATTTATTTAGCTCCATCTTTTCCAGAGATACAAACTACGATAGCTGAATTAACCTAGTGTGTGAATGCGTTCAGACAGTGTTATTAGATCTTATTAAAGACAACAATTATATTTACTCAGATACCAACCCTCTTAAAGTCTTCGTCTTTCCGTGTCTCTTGTAATAACGGATCTCGCCATTCTTCTTTGCTTTAAACCAGCGATACCTCCAATTCCTTCCCGTAGGTCCTCGCACGCCCCGCTTCCATAAATAACCTTCGCACAAACGCATCTAATTCGGTAAAAACATAAACCTTGGTTCAGTGTACTGCTCGATATTGAAAAAAACTTGACAACAACAAACTACACACATGACAAACGGCAACGGCGACAGCGACGGCGACGGCGACGGCGACGGCGACGGCAATGAGAACGGCAAAAACTCCACAACTCATTCCTAACGTACCTGGCCAGTTAAAATTGAAACAACACGGGGGGAAAGGATCATGCGCTCACCTCTAGAGCTTCCGAAGCGATCATCTTTTCCATCTCCGATTGTGCCTTTTCGAGCTAAAAGAAGAAAATAATAAGGATAAATAATATTTCTACAGTTCCCAGTGGTTGTTTTAAAAGTGCAACCAGAATTTGAGAACAGACCTTTTGTTGATGAGGGGGCGGGGAGAGGGAAGATGGAGGGGGGAAAGCCTACATACGGTAAATTTCCCGCTAGTGGAAAGATGAATACCACTGAGAAATTGGTTGCCGTTGAAGGACGGTTTGGTAATAACAAGTATTATTAAAAACTGAATCATTGAGTAATAGAATTCTAGAGCTCCGATTTGCTTAGCCTAAATGGTAAATGAGTCATTATACCATGCTCTCCAAATATGGTAACTGTACGCGTCTGCTCAAAAACAAGCTGAAAATCGGTTGTTTTTACAAATAAAGTTCGGGAAGAATTCTCGATATTTTGTGGGCGTTTTTAATAAAACAATTCTTCAACTCGCGCTTGTTGGATATGAGGTGATTATAGCCAACTCGGCGCTACGCGCCTCGTTGCCCCCTACCATCTCCTGTCCAACACGCACTGGTGGAATAAATTGTTCATTAAGTTGACATTCCTATCCCATTTCTAAATATATGTAGTGTCTTAATATTCTTTCTTGCTAACTTTGTTTTTGGTCCTTTTACCTCCAACTGTAATTTCGAGACTTCAACCTTTAAATCGTCTCTTTCTTTGTGTGCCTTTTCCACTTCCGCTGCCTCGTTAGACATATCAAGTTGTAGCTGGTTAATTTTGGACTCAGCGACTGCTTTCTCGCTTTCCAAGGAGGTAATTTGGGCTAAAAGTCCCTGGTACTTTCGGTCTGATTTGAGCTGAGTGAAATGAAATAACAAAAGTAGGCAAGGTCAACAGTTACCGGCACCGTACAAATGATTTATTGACGGACTCAAGCAAAACTAACTACGAGACTGGACAAACGAAAATGTGACTAACAATAAACGATTGTTAAACTGTGACAATAGGCGGATCGAAACGCACCAAATGCAATGACATTTCTACTCTTCATAGAAACTAACATCACGGCTTAACTGACAGACGACCAATACGATTGCGACTTAATTGACTTAATTGACTTAATTGACTAATCATGTTAATACCATCGACTGACGTGATACCACTCACTTTGACTTGAAAATGACTACCGCACAAGTTGTCGAAACATCAGTCACTGTCAACAACAGTTGTGTTCAGGACTACGTTCACCCGGACGATCATGCTCAGCCAACTTATGAAATGACTCCTGGGTTCAAACATGATAAGATCTAATTTGCCGGTAAGTTGTGGGCAATAGCTAGCAAGAGAGGTACAGATTTTCTACAGATTTTCACTGAGCTAAAATTTGGGAAAAAATAGTGTATTTGGCAAAATAATCCCTAGATGAATGCGATTGACTTTTCTGAAGAAACACCTTATGAAACATTCCAGAAACAGCGTTTCTAAATCCGTAGATTCCAAGTTTTCCGCGAGGAAGGAGAGAGGGAGACGTGCGTGCTCCCACACATCCCCCTCCCCCCTCCCCCACGATACCCGATTGCGGAGTTAAGCAAGGCTGTATGTTATCACCCACCCTTTTTAATCGTTTTTAATCTCTATCTAAGTGATATCTAAGTGAATATCAACCGATATTCTGCTTGATGACTCTGAAAGACCTATAAACTGTTTATTATATGCGGATGACTTAGTGATCTTTTCGCGGTCGGCAAATGGCCTAATAACACTCCTCAACAAGTTGGAATCCTACTGTGAGAAAACTGAACTAACTGTAAATCTAGACAAAACAAAACTCATGATCTTTATTAATTGTGGCAATTCCTTAAATAACTACTCGTTTAAGTATGGAGTAAATAAACCAAAAACAATGTTAAATCTTTTAAATATCTGGGAATGACACTGAACCCGTATGGAAATTTTAGTTTAGCTAGAGAAGAGTTAAAAAAAAGTTGGGCTTAAGGCACTTTATAAACTAAGAAAAGAGAAGGGTGACAACTTTAGAGAAAATATTATGCTGACGATTAAACTATTCGATGTTCTGATATCTCCCATACTTCTCTATGGAAGTGAAATTTGGGGTGTTGACTGTAACGACCAAATAGAAAAAGGTCGTGCAGAACTAGTTCAAATTAAATTCTTGAAATGGTTGCTAGGTGTAAATAAATATTGCAGCAACAATGCATGTAGGGCTGAAACAGGAAGATTCCCAATAAAAATCGAAGCACAATATAGGAATTTTAAGTTTTGGCTAACTCTAACCAAACACCCAAAACACAAATTATCACAGGTGGTTTATAATGATATGAAGTCGAGGATGAATAAGGAATTATGGAGCCAAAAAATCAAACGTATATTAGGCCAAATAGGGCTGGGATACCTCTGGACAAAAGCACATGAAAATGACATAGGAATCTTGAACATTATCAAACAAAGACTGAAAGACATCGAATTACAAAGATGGTTAAGTGACGTAAACAATGACGTAAGACAAGACGCCAACCAAAAGAACAAACTAAGAACCTTCCGAAAATTTAAAACAATAGAAAATTATAAATGTGACGATTATCTCCGTCAGGTCACCAACATCCGACACCGGATAACTCTAACTAAACTCCGTGTAAGTAATCACAAAATGGCGATAGAGACAGGGCGGTATGTAAGACCTTATAAGAAACCGGAAGAGAGGATCTGTCCTATCTGTAAAAAAGACGTAGAAGATGAAATACACTTTTTAACTCTGTGCCCTGTGTATCAAGGAAAAAGAAGTAGTTTATTTGAATACTTAAACAAAGAATACAGAATATCAGTAAACAGAATGGCACCAGATGATGTTTTTCTGTTGTTAATAAACCCTCCGAGCAAGAACAAACCAGTGCGAAAGTTAATTGCAAAATACGTATTCGACTGCTGTGAGAAAGGAAGATCATTAGTTCTTTAGGTTAACATTGATTATAGTTCCACTAGTGTGCAATGTGTGTTATGATTTTAAATTATTTGGATAAAGTCGATGTACCTAGGACTGTATAAGACTCCAAATAAAGCATTGTCTTGTCTTGTCTTGTCTTTGCCAAAGGTCCGGCCATGACATTGCAAGACCTTATGAAACATTCCGAGAACAGCGTTTTCGAGCTTCCACATTTCAAACTTTTCTGGGAGGATGGCGTGAAGGAGGCGTGCCCCAGATATTACCACTGGCTCGCACCCTCGGCGATAGCAGATCCACCTTGCTTTACATTTAAGCTTTACATGTACCTTAACCAAAAGTCTCGAAAAGGCCCTGCTTTGAACTATCAAAACGTCACGGGCCAGCTTGGGTCTTTTTTTATGTCTTCCGAGTTGTCATACAAAACGATAGGCAAAAATTAAAAGCAGATTGAAAATTGTATGATTTACAAAAGGGAACTTTGGATGACCTTTTTTCAAACCGGAGCCAAGTGCTAACACTTTAGTTTCACTAAATGAAAATGAAGTAGACTAATAATTTCAATAAATAGGTGGGTGCTGTTTTTGCGGGCTAGACCATTTTGTTGGTAACAGGAGAAGCCATTAAAATTTTATGGAGAATCAAAGATAACGAACATTGAGGGAGCAAATAGCTTTGTGTCTTACTAAGGCTTGCCAGCGATTAAAATGTGTCTGTTAAATAAACCTTCAGTTTAGTGATCATATTGTAACGTTGTAATGAAGACTGAAAAAGAAAATGTATCCTAATACGAATTTCACTAAATTAAAAAAAGCTATTACTGACTGACCCTACCTTACCTTCTTAAACTTTCCAAAAAGCCTTTTTCCGAAACCTTTTGATTTGGACTTTGACGACGCAGCCGAAAGGGAATGGCCTTCTTTCTGTGCGCATTCGTCGTCTGAAAGTGAGTGGATAATGTTAAGATTAATTTTCATACCTTACCATTGCTTACCGAGCATAGCTAGATCCTAGTCGTATGTAACAATTACTTGGACGGTCATAAGTTCTTTTGACCTTCATATACGCAGCGGGTTAAGCTTACGTGTTGTTTCGTCTTCAGCAACATAACTCTCATCGTCATCGTCATCGTCATCATCATCATCGTCGTCGTCGTCGTCGTCGTCGTCGTCGTCATCATCATTGCTTTCGTCATCATCATCATCATCATCATCATCATCATCATCATCGTCATCACTCTCGTAATCTTCCCCTCTATCACTTGCTCTGTGTTCCAGTCGTCGAGAAGAGCTTGATTTTCTTTCTTCATCACCATCGAGTTTACTGCTTTGGTCTTTAGAACCTGCATGACGACTGTAAGACAAAAAGCACCACAACATACAAGGCTATTAAGCTTACCTTCTGAAGCGATAAATTCAAGGAATCGTATTTCAAAAAGGGTTTATCATATTGAGCCCGAAAATCGGGAAATTGGTCAGTCTTCCAAGAATTATAAAAACAATTAAACGAGCGCAGTGACGTCACCTTATGTCGACAGCCGCTTTTTATGTTGGTTTAAACAGGGCAAAAAATTCAGTTTTCAAAATGGCGGACATGGGACAAGGGTTTTCGATGTTTTTGGATTTTTTTACAATCTTTTTCTTGTTGTTAACCTTGACTCATAGCCTTTAAAAATGGCGTTGTAAGACAAAATGATATGACTATAAACTGTAACCAAATACTCTGCTTGATTATCGACTCGTAACTAATCATGATGCTTTACGGATATTAAAGAACGTAACTGTGAATGTCTTCCAAAACCTTAAATCACCTAAGAAACAAGGCATTTATAAAAGAAATCAGCGCTCATGAAACTTTATTTTAGCTGCAGAGTATTCATTTCTGGATTTGTGTTCAGTATAACGTTCTCTGCCAGAAGAAGTTTCATATTTGTGACTAAAAGCAAGCAAAGCAATTCAGTGATACACACTCATGAAGTAAACATGACAGCGAGGCCTAAGGGCCTACCGATTTCCTGCAAACTTCGATAAAAGTGAACAGGGCGGCGAAGACAAGAATGGATAGTGATTCAGAGATATAGAATTAGCCCGAAAAATATTCCTGGGGCAATTATAGTCTCTGAATGAACGTGCGTTGGAAAGTGAACAATGGAGAAACTAATCTTCGGCGAGGATCCTTCGGGAATACATGAAACGTCGTAAAAAAGGTAAGTGTGTATTATAGACAATAAACTGTAAATATTTAGCACTGCAGATGAATTACCTTGCCACGCTAGAGCTAAAAAGTGAAGCGATCTTCTTTCTTGAATCAGGCATAGCTACGTAAACAAACAATGGCGTCTGCATCAACAACCTAACGCAGCATTAGAAACAAAAATAGAAAAAAGAAAAACAGAACCAAAAAAAACTTAAACGCACCTCTAATTTGACAATTTTAGCTCGTGATCAAGGTATGCCCACTCACCCCCGTAAAATTTGTTTCCAAGATTTTTTACCAGAAGCAAAGAAAGTTTTGGTTTGATCCGATTCAAGTATGTGTGATGTTCATAATCACGAGAATAAATTTAGTAGGTCAGGTCAATTTCCGGGTAACTAGATACCGGGGGGCGAGGGTTGTGTTCAGCGGGGAGCATTGTGTCGGCTTCCGTTTTTCTGTACAGTTATTCTCCTTATGAGGTAGATACTCCGCCAGTAATTTACTACTGTGGAATCTTCTTGCAATAAAGCTGTAACGTCTGTCTAACTATTGGCTCACCCTCTTTTGAGCGTGACGTTTATTTATCCCCAGATTTGTGGTTGAATGCTTGCCATTCAATCCCCCCCCCCTTCCCCCTCCCTCCCCAACTCGCTGTTAAATTATGTTATCGAATCTTTTTTGGAAAAATTTAGTGAGAGTCTGTGACATGGTTACAAACAAAGCAGCAAGCCTGATCTTAAATACAAACAATTTGGGTTCATCAATTGCCTGATCTGTTCCTGAGATGGCTGATATAGACTGATCATGATAGAATACAAGCTTCAGTGAACGATGGAAAAACGAACCGGACGCCATATGACGTGTCTTGCGTATTCCCTTATCGTTGCGAAACTCATTTTTAGCAATTCTCATGCTAATTTGCCAAAAAGTGGAGTTGGTGAAAAATGCATTTTTTTTTTCACGAATTCACCACCACTCTCATCAGTTTACGTATGTATGGTGTCTCTGATCTGCTCTTTGCCACATATTTGTATGCCCTTTATTGTCGCGTTTTCCTCTGGACCAAGCTTTGGTATGAAGCTTTTACAGTATTGCACTACGACACATGTGTTTCTTAATTCATCCCTAAATCCGCTGGATTGCTGGATTGCTGGAAGATGGAGGGGGGTGAGGTTGAAATTTAGAGGGAGGGCATAGGAGAAAATGACAACAAGATCGAGGGGGGTTGGATGTAAAATTTGATACATATAGGGGGGGGGCATTACTTTTTTATTCCTTTTTGCAAACTGGAAAAGTAGTAGAAGAGTTATTAGAGTTCAAATATAAATCTAAGACCTGTGTTCTGATCTATGAACTGTTGTTTTCCTATCTGTCATGCAGTAGGAAAGGAATGCCTCTGTTATATATGTTGAAACAGTGCTACTTTATTTGCACCAGGATTTAATAAAACAGGAAACTTTAATTAAAAGTTGCAAAAGTAGCAATATAATGTTATTGAATGAAAAAGAAAGATGCTAATGTTAGCACACATGGCATCATAATTTAGCAGAATGAAAAACTCAACTGTTGAAATTTTAGTAGCAATACAAATTAAAAGTATGGTAAATAAAAGATGTAAAAGCGTTTACCAACAAGCTGATGAAAATGTATCTAAAGCAAAAAGGTCTTAAGATAAGGGGAAGCATGGCTGAGTTGATTGATCGAGTTCTCATGCCACCCACGCACGCGGGAACCTCAGTGCTAGAGATGCATTGTAGAAGATAAGGAATCTCCCAATTCATGCGAAGACGACACAAGCTCAGAGTCCAGTGATTCTGATGACTCTTCGACATACGTCGAAGAGTCATTTGAAGTGATGTTTGTACCGGAGGTAAACTAGGTATGAGGGAATCAATGGGAGGAGACTTTTTTTAAGGGGGGGGGGGGGG